ATATGAAGTTAGAGAAGTAAAATTATTTTTACCTGTTTTCGATTTCTGTCAAGCATCAAATATAAATTGAATGTAAAGAAGATATAATTTCTATTTAGAAGAGTTCGGGGAAGAAATTGTGTATTTTCTACTAATTAGTTAAAAACTCTTTCTCTTATTTATTTTTATTTTTAGAAAACGCGATTCAAAGGAGTGTTTCATAGTACATTCACTTGGTTAGGCAAGCGAAAGGACGACCGCAAGTATTCATTAATCGGTGTACTGTAACGTCAATGAGTCAAGTGCTGATTTTTCTTATTAACCATTAAGAAACCCAAGGAGTTTAATCGTTATAAAAAAGATTCTTATAAAGTCTTCAACGATACCTGAAGTTTGGAAATTCCAAAGTAGATTTAAATTCTTTTTTGTCTGTAGATTTACATACTGCTCAAAAGATATTACTTTTGATACATGATGAAAAAGTGAAATATACCACAGTTAAAGTATCAGATAAATTTTGTGATTAAAAAAAAGAGAGAGTAGAAAACGAGTCATTTCTGAATCATTCCTCATTGAGTATAAAATTACATACAATTTCTAGGAATCTTATGCGTTGTGGATAAAAACAATTTATTTTTATATCATTCTAAAGATTTTCTTTCTAGAAGAAATTATAAGGCAGACTTTTCTTTATAACGGTGTCAAATAGTAGGATAATATAGTCCTCAGAGTGCAATTTCGTCAAAGATTTTTTTTAATTCTTGCAATCATAATACCAATGCAATGTATGCATTATTTTTGACAAAGTTGGCCGATCAGAATTGAATCTTCAAATAAAAATAATAAATATAAATAAATAGTTGGTTGATTAGACCAGTTTGGTACGACCACTAACCCAGAAGCATTTTCTAAGCTAATTTTATTCAATACCTTTAAAATCAACGTGAATGGGGGAAATGCGTAAAAGTTTAGATTTGACAAGTTGAAGGTGAAAGCATCGATTTCGAATGCTTCTGAATCTGGGAATCTTGAACACAAGTTAGTACATTTTTTATTTTCGTTTGTAGCAAATAAATCGACATCTATCTCCCCATAAAATTTTTTCGAACTCATAATCGTTTAATTCCCACTCGGTGTCATCGTTTCCTATTCGCGATAGAGAATCTGCTTCAATATTTTTTCTGGATGCGATATAAGAGGCAAACAAGAAAATATTGTTCTTTTCAGACCATTTCCAGATATTTTTAGCTAAGGTATTAAAATTTTTGTATTTTGTTCCTCCCATTTTATTGATATAGGCTATTGCCGTCGTGTTGTCCATTCTCAAAAGAATCTGACAATCTTGGCCTGCAAACTTTACTAAAGCAATTTTTACCGCGTACAGCTCTTTATAATTAATGTGCCATTTTTTCTGATGAGGTTTCCAAAACCCGTAGGAATTATTTATAAATAATTATTTATCTTCAATTTTCTTGTGTCTGATTGGTGAAGTAATCCCGTGAAACTCGAAGAAACTTTCTCAACATTATATAGTCCGAGAGCGAAGAGTCAAACGTAAAACATAAGAACATAGATAAGCTCACTTAGCTCTTCAGATTGTGGAGTATATACGACTCAAGTTTATATAGAGAATCTTATAACTATTGTTGCTCGACCGGATCGTTCGTAGATGATGTGCTCTTTCGTTGTATGTCCAGTATCTTTCGCCTCTGTATATGTATAATCGTTTATTTCGCGTCGACCTTTGCAGGGCACTACGTCAAGATGTCAGACGGGACCCCGCCTGGCGTAGGGAAGATGCACTGGGAACGATGTAATGGGCTTACAAAGCGTAACAAACTGATGCGAGGTCAAACACACGACGGGCAATAAACACACGCCAAGATAAATGGCCCTTATAGTACCTCTGGTACCCCAGGGAAAGTGTTTCGGCACAACTTAAATCCCTACGATGCTCTCTCTCTCTCTCTCTCCCTCATACATATACAAGCGTTCATTTTAAAGTCCCAACAATATCCCAGGCAAAGTGTTTTACTGGTGTATAGAGGCTTCATTCGATCTCATTCAAGTCACTCCACTTGCCAGTATTAAACGCCAAACACAACAACCTATCTTCAACTTCTATTCTCTTATCCGGCTGCCTTTATTTCATCCTTCGTGTGACAGCTGATGCTATCTAATTCCAACACCTTCCTGGACGCGAAATTTTTTATTTCTCTTCTATTTACATTATGTATAAAATATATTGTATAAAATTTTTAAAATGTAATTTTTCACCCACGCGTATAATAGGTTGGTTTTTAAATAGTTTATTGTTATTAACTTTATTGTAATTACAAAGTAGTAAATTATTATATTTATTAGCAAATAATACGCGCGGAAAGCGGTATTTCATTTATTATTATTTTGTTAATTAACCCTTTCGTGCCCCCGAGAAACCCGCAGACAGTGAATTTTATTGAAACTTATTACTCGGGGGTTTTTTGGGGTCGTTGATTACGAATCTAAAGTCAGATTTTCAAAATTTTCAAAATACAAAATGGCGGATCCAATATGGCGGACATTTTTTCAAAATTGCTCAAATTTGAATAAAATTTGTTACTCGGAGGTTTTCAGGGTCGCTGATCACGAATCTGAAGTCAGATTTTCAAAATTCAAAATGTCAACCGTGAAAAACCGTGAGTAACAAGTTTCAAGCGAATATGAGCGATTTTGAAAAACAATTTCCCCCAACTTAAGTTTTGAAAATTTGACTTTAGATTCGTAATCAGTAACCCCGAAAACCCTTGAGTAAGAAGTTTTAAGCAAATTTTAGCAAATTTTGAAAAATTAAATTTTGCTATTTTTTTAACGATATTTTACTATTGTTTATAATAATTATAATAGTACTATGTAATTTCCTACTTTTTTATAAATATTAGTTAGATTGGTGATTAAAAAAGCTATATTAATTGTTTATTGGTTTAAAATTATAAGAGTTTTATTAAATTTTGTAAGTGGTACATGTATGTACAGGAGCGGAGACGCGAAAGGGTTAAAAAATTTTATATTTTCAAGAATAAACATTAATTTTTGAATGATTGCAGATTCAAAATTGAGGGTTCACGTGCAATAAGGGGATACGCATGGAAGTGAAAGTCCCCGCGTATAGCGATTCTGCGGCTGCGCGAGAGGACAACGAATAGCCTGCGCGTCCCCTTATTGCACGTGAACCCTCAATTCAAGGAATTCACTTATAATTGATTTTAATATACCTAAATAAATAAATAATAAAATTGACATCAAAGGAATTCAATTATTTTCATAAATAAAAAAATTTTTAGGAGGAATTCAATAATTTTCCATACAATTTTAATAAAATTTTTACGAAAGAATACGATTATTTTTTAAAATATTAATTAAATTCAAATATTTTCAAGAAGTTTAATAAAAATTCAATTATTTTCAACAAATTTTGATAAAAAATTCTTTGAAACAATTCAATTATTTTTGTAAATTGTAAAATTCTTAGCAAGAATTCAATTATTTTTAAAAATGGAAATAAAATGTTTCCAAACAATTCAATTGTTCTTATAAGTTTTTAATATTTAGGTATAATTCTTTGTAAATTTCAATTATTTTCAAAATTTTCAATTAAAATTACTTTATAAAGTTACATTATTTTTACGAAATTTAATGAAATTCTTCAAAAAAATGTAATTATTTACAAAAACTTTAATAAAATTGTCTAATTACAAGAATTTAATTTTGTATTAATAATTTTAATATAATTTAATAAGAAAATAGTTAATTACAATTAATTCATAAACACGACTATAAATTTTTATTTGAATTAAATATATTATTTTTTTCAATGACCCAAAAAGTATATTTTTTTATTAAACCTAAATATGTTTAACTGTATTGCAAAGATATTATAAATTTGATTTAAACTAAATATAGTTTTGATTCAAATTAATGGTTTTTTAGTGCGTTTTAATTATCGATGTAATATTGCAGAAATATTCTGGTAAATAATTTTGATTAATATAGGTACTGGAAAAATTCTTGTATTCTTTTAACCTTTCTCTTAATGTTAAAGAAGATAAGAAGAAGAAGAAGAAGGTAAAAAATGAGAATGAAAATAATGACATACAGGCTTAATACTCTAGATATATTAAAGGTTAATATCTATAAAAGATTGCACACTCCAGATATTAAATTTTAATAGTATCTGTCTATATGTTCGCCAAATGTTTATAAAGGTTGTAATTAACCTCTGATTGAAGTCCGATTATTACATATATAACAACTGTTACGTATTCCACCTCTCACATACCGCATTTAAAGATATCTTTTGATAAAGTTCTTATATAGATTTTTCTCAAAGGTTGTTCCTCATCGATTTTATTGGCTGTCTAAATGTCGAGATGTTTTTGATAAGCCTAGAATCTTTAGATGTTATAAACTTCTATAATGTACTTTTTATATTGGCTCGACATTTAATAGTTCGCAATATTTTTTTTTGTTAATAATATCAATGTAATTTACAATTTATTTACTTCTGTATTTTATCTTCATTTTAACTTTATGCTGTTTATATCTTCATATTTTCATTCCATTTTATGTACAGCTTACATCCATTTATTCTTTTGCTTTTCTATTTTATTGACGCTTAGAAAACTTTACTTCTTGCAATTTCCTTTTTTTATATATATTTCTGTTCCTTATAATTTTACAGTTTCATATTTTTAAATTTTTTGTGTTTATTCTTATGTTTCCTTTTTTTATTGTTTCTTCATTTCTTATGGAATTTGTATTTTTTACAGTTTAATTGAGTGATTTTTACATAATTATACTTGATAATTCTTTTTATATCTTATTTTTCATTTCTTCCTTTTCACATATTTATATTATTCTTAATTTTATAATTATATATTTCGTTTTCATTTTTTAGGTATGTGATGTATTTTATATTTTCCTATTTTTTCTCTTTTCATTTATTTGTCAGTTACAATGATCGTATAATATTTTTGTTTCAGATGCCACAGACAGTGCCAACGGCAGATGGCTTTTCGCCGACCTTCGATTACACGACCTTCCAATTCGATTTGTCTCTACTGCCAGACGATTATGGCATTTTGAACAATCAGAACAATCTAAAACCTCCGCAAATCAAACAAGAGGCTTGTTCACCACGACCCACATCACCGACAACTTATCCAAGTCCACCTTATCCAGGACTTGGTGCATTGTCACCAAATTACTCGCGAGATGCATCACCTGCTTATCCCACAAGTCCTTATTATCTTCCACAGAGTCCACAAAGTGCTCAATTTTACCCAACAAGTCCCGAACCCACCAAGCAACATGTCAAACGAGAGAAAAGTCTTGATCTTCTGGCTATTCTTCAAGAGTCTAGGTAGGATGCTTGTTTTAAAAATTGTGTCATATGTTGTATCTATAAAAAATTATTATCATCTCTTAATAATGAATAAGATATTTCAGTTTAAGGGAAAAGAAATTTGCAACTCTTGATAGTTGATACAAAGATGTTCTTGGAAGTGGGGATTATTTTAATTTCATTCTCAGTTCCAAGGATTTCTTTAAAAATTTAATATGCCTACCATTCATATATGTATTTTATTAGTTTATCAAAGAAATGCTTTTTTTATTATTCTTTTCATATTTAATTGAAATTTTGAATAGTACAAATAAATTTAATTTAAGTGTTTAATTCTATACTTTTTTCTACAATTTTTTAAATATTTTGTTTATATTTCAAGATTTTAAATGTAATAACATTTTTATGAAAAAACAAAGAATGTACATTTTTAAAAAGATTTCATGTAAGACAATTCAAAATTTTCTATAGTTTCTAAAGGGGATAAAAAAATTTCATTTCTGCAATTCTTTTGTCCATAAAACAAATTTTGGGCACTTAATAGTTAAATACTCTCTTAATTTGAATGTGTTATAAGTATAGCACTGATTTCAGTTAGGGTATATTCACTGATACATTAATGAAATTTCACTCATTTGTCACTAATTCATAAAAATATTTATGCTGATTGAAATCAGTAGTATATACTTTTAGCTGAAAATCAGCAAGCTTTCACTGATTCAGATTTAGAGAGATAATTCTACCTTTAACCAAAGAAGTGTGTTTATAGAAAAGTATGAAGGAATTGACATTTACAGAATGGCGATTTCAAATGTGGCGTCAAAATGTTAAAGGTTATTAGTTAGTAATTTATTTTATAAAACGACAAAATGTAATAGTATTCGTCTGAATCTTCTTACTCGGGGGTTTTGTAGTCACCACTGATTTTGAATCTAAAGTTAGATTTATAAGAATTACTCAAAATAATTGATCCAGTATTGCTCAGAAAAGGTTTTAAAAATAAGTGTGTTCATTTTTCTAGTTTTTCAAATTATAAAATTTTTTAAAATGATTGAAACAAATTGTCCTTTATAATATGAATATGTTATGAGTTTTTTCTAATAAAATGTCCGGATTTATGTATATGTGTGTGGGAGAGGATTCCATTTTTCGTGAACACGAGAACTGAAAAAGGTTTCAACGAATTTCGGTAAAAATTGCTAGACGTATTATTATCATATTAATATTTCAAAAATGGTCAAAAAGATTTAAAAAAAGTCCTGGATATTTCCAAGAGAATAAATGAATTTTCATCTGTGCGTCACGACATTAAAAATAGATATCTCTTTGATAAATTACGCTTTACCCAAGTAGAACCCAATCATATAATATCTAAACAACTTTAAAATGTGTATGAAAATTCAACTTCAGATTTGTGTCGCCAAACCTTCTGAGTAAATGAATCAAAAAATTCGAAGACATTTTGTCAATTTTTAGTAAAATATGTACTTATTTGACTTTTAATTCTTTTTAATAAATTTAAAGGTTCTTCTAATATCTCAAATTAATTATTGGATTACAAATTGGCACCTATTAATTGATCATTTAATCATCATTGATCATTAATAATAGTCAAATTAGACTCCAGAAATTATATTAATACAAAATCTTTTATAAAATAAGAAGTCAGGTTAAAATTTTAATCGAACGCTTTCTTTTATTGCAGACTCTTAGCAGAGAGTCTTGGTTATAAAGAGGATTCTACAGACTGCACAGTTCCTTCTACACCTCCCAGGACAGAAGAAGATATTTATAACAGTTTAGATACAGATTTTTTCCCGAAAAAGGACTCCAATCCCCTTTTAAAAGAAATTCTCTTTAAAGAAGAGCCTCGATCCACATCCTCCATTTTCGTTTCGTCATCATCACCAGCGTCAATAACATCATCTTCATCATCAATGTCCATATCTTCGCCAGCTTCGGTTTCATCATCAGCCTCAATCTCTTCTTCTGCATCAACTATTTCCTCCTCAGCTTCCTCTCCAGCATACGCTGAATTGGAACGATCTCCACTTCGTGAATTGCTTTACAAGGGGAGTCCAAAGAATCTACCCGACGAAACCACGACTATTTTGAAAGTGGAAAAATTCCCGGAAGATCTTCTTTTGGACAAAATGATAAATCCCCTGGCAAAGGAAGAAGAATTATTCAAAGACGGAAGAAAAAGTGACCATCAACTTTTACGAGAAGTTCTAAGGGACACGAGCTTTCAAAGAAAATATAATCTTCGACCCGTTGATCTTGGAACTGTTGGTACTGGATTTGTTGAAGATATGGAAACTGGTGAATGCGTTGGTGATCTTACCCGGGAGCAAATTGAACCTGTTCTCAGTCTTGCTATACAACAGTTGCAAAAGGATTTTGATAATACATGCGTTGCCCTCGGCATCCATCCTGGTGAGTTATAATAATTGTAGGTCTTTTAATATCTTCATGGGAGTCCACGAGACATCTCACTATAGATTGAGAGATGTCAATTTAATGCCACTTGTTAATTAATAATTTGCATATATTTATTTTTTGTATATTTACATTTTTTTAATTACAAACTTTGCTTCAGTGAACATGAATAAAATAAAAAATGCGGTACATTCTTTTAGTAAATTATTTATATTACTTAATTTGAAATGTTTTTTTAATTATGCTTTGTAATAACACAAATAGTAATAACCTAATACACTACCGACGGTATAATTGTGCGACATTTTACTAATTCTTTTTTAGCATCTTAATAGTAAATAATTTATTAAAAAATAATAAAATTTATATTTGTTACATGTTGAAAAAATTAAGTTGTTTGTACCTTTAAAAGATAAACATTCCATGGATGAATAGAAATTACTTAATGTAGCTATAGATACTTTTTTCGGTTTTAAAAATCTTTAAAACTAAATATCATCATCAATTAAAGTCAGGAAGTGTTATTCAAGTGTAGAAAATAGGAAAAAAATAGTTAATAAAAAAATATTATAATTTGTCATCTCTTTTCCTATATACTTGTTTTATATGACCAGCCTACCTTGCCCGCGGCAAATATTCGTCCACGACCGGCTTCCACTTTATTCGTCTAAAACATATAACGTTATAGATTGAAATAGCTTTAATAAAGATGACGACGCATTTTCGGTTATAAGTTACGAAAATTTGGCCCTCATTCCAGGGTCAGGAATCAATCCATATTCTGAGGCATGCTGAACAAAATTTTTGAGCAGAATTTTTAGACTTTTATTTATTCTATTCAAGTTTCTTTTGGTATTTTTTATTATCATTATTTCTTATTTTAGATTTATTTAAATTGATTTTAATGAATAAAATTATTCATTTACTTTAATAAAAAAACGAAAGGTAACTTATGCTCTGCAAATATAAGTTTCTTATGTATGTGTCAAGTATCTTACAATGTATTTTATACTTTAATAACTTAGAATTTTGACATCTTAATCTGCGATAAGTACTTTAAAAAAATTATCAAAGTATTTTACGTACCTAAGATGGAAATATTTTAATCAGTTTTGGAATGTTTAAAGCATCATATATTAATAAGATACATATACTATTATTTTATTCTAATATAGAAAATACCAATTTTCTATGGACTATAGATGGTCCGAGTAAAAATTTTTCTCATATATTTGCAATGTACCCTAAAAAAGTAATCTTGATTTGATTGATTCTTGATTCCTCTAAACTAAATGGATATTTTCCTCTTATACGTGGTATCAAAAGTAATACACGGAGAAAAATTTATTCTTACTGATTACAATAGTCTATATTACTGTTCGGATATGTGACCACTTTTTGTGATGATTACTATAGCTGTTGTAAGGAGTACAAACATGAAGGTATCCCTTACAACAGCTATAGTAATCGTTCCTACTCAATTCTTAACACATTACATAGTCTTCGTAATCATTCCAAAAAGTGGTCACATATCCGAGCTGTAATGTAGACTATTGTAATCATTAAAAAGAATTTTTCTCCGTGTAGTCTTCACATAAGAGAATTTTCCTCTTGCATATTATTTGCCAATTATGGTTATGAACTGATAAAAAAAGCAATTTGAATCTACCAAATTAAATGTTTTTAATAAAATAAATATAATTAATGGCTATAGGGGGCTTCGCGCGCCAACCCCCTATTTTTTACTTGGTTTCATCTTGATTTACTTACATCTTGCCATAGGTCGAAGAATTTTTCAAATTTGACCTAAATTTTGACGTAAGAAAACAACACTTTGAAGGAACCTAATTAGTCAAATTCTTAATCAAATTCTTTGTCAAAACCTTAGTCAAAATCATATTTAAAGTCTCAGTCAAAGTCATATTTAAAGTCTTAGTCAAATTCTTAGTCAAAGTCATACTGATATTCAAAGTCTTCGTCAAAGTTTTATTTAAAGCCTTAGTTAAAGTCTTAGTCAAGCCTTAGTCTTTGACTAAGATTAAGACTATGACTAAGACTTAGGCCTAGTCTTAGCCTTAGACTTACATTGACTGATATAGGGGGCTTCGCGCGCCAACCCCCTATTTTTTACTTGGTTTCATCTTGATTTACTTACATCTTGCCATAGGTCGAAGAATTTTTCAAATTTGACCTAAATTTTGACGTAAGAAAACAACACTTTGAAGGAACCTAATTAGTCAAATTCTTAATCAAATTCTTTGTCAAAACCTTAGTCAAAATCATATTTAAAGTCTCAGTCAAAGTCATATTTAAAGTCTTAGTCAAATTCTTAGTCAAATTCTTAGTCAAAGTCATACTGATATTCAAAGTCTTCGTCAAAGTTTTATTTAAAGCCTTAGTTAAAGTCTTAGTCAAGCCTTAGTCTTTGACTAAGATTAAGACTATGACTAAGACTTAGGCCTAGTCTTAGCCTTAGACTTACATTGACTTTCTTTGACAAATCGTTGACTTGGTTTTGATTTGAAATAAAACTTCATTCACAGTAAAAAATAACACCAAAATAGATTATTTTAATCCTTCTTGGAGTTAATTTAATCTGCAGCGCTTTTTAATACCTCACAATATACTGTGTCAGATTTGACCTACATTTTGACCTAGGGTAATGACCACTTGAAGAGACCTTATGAGACCTCTTTTTGGCCTGTAGGTTAACAAATAGGTCAAAATGGACCTATATTTCAAGATGGAGATTTCTTAAGTATACTATAGTGGGCCCTTACAATTTGACCTGTACGTTAAAAAATAGGTCAAAATTTACCTATATTTTGACCTAGTTAACTTAAATATACTATAGGGGGCCTTAGAATTTGACATGTAGGTTAAAAAGGGTCAAAATTGACCTACATTTTGATCTGGAGTTATCTTAAGTATACTAGTGGGCCCTTACAATTTGACCTGTAGGTTAAAAAGGGTCAAAATTGACCTACATTTTGATCTGGAGTTATCTTAAGTATACTAGTGGGCCCTTACAATTTGACCTGTAGGTCAAAAAATAGGTCAATTTTGACCTATTTAGATAGATTTAAAAAGGGGTCAGAGGATGGGTCTAGATGGGGGGTTTTTATAGGGGAAAGGGGTCATTCAGTTAGAGAAGAAGACCAAGGGACGGGGTTTAGAGATGGAAAGAGGGGCAGGGAGTTAGAGGAGAGGGTTTATTGGGATGACTAACTAACAGTAATTAATAAAATTTATTTATTTCTCTTAAATTTAATGTCTTTAACATTAGAACCTCAAAAAATTATTTTGTTTAATTATTAACCACCAGAGAATAAAAATATTTTACATTCAAGTGGAATACTTTTGTTATGAGAGGAACAATTGAGAGGATATTAGAAAAGAAATTTTCCTCTAAATATAAAATTATTTTTTTAGGGTTTTATTGTTGATTTTCGATAAATTTTTTATTGAAATATTAAAAATTATTTATTTTTAAAAAGTGTAATGTTGTTGTCCGAATGAAAAAAGGGGGATAAAATTGCGAAAAAAATTGTGTAATAGTTTTCGGTTCAATTGAGCAACAAGCAAATATTGATCTTGGGTTTAAAATGTTTCTTGCAAATTTTTTTTAGAACCTTGCCGCTGGAGTGCGGCCGACGTAGCAGCTTGGGTGCAGTGGGCTAGAAGGCAATTGCAGTTACCCTCTGTGCCTCTGGAAAGTTTCAATGTTGATGGTGCTACTCTCACTTCCCTCACTGAAGAGGAATTTTGCCGGAGAGCTCCACAGGTGAGTCAATCGATTTTCTTCAAGACGTGCTATTTATCAATTAAAAACCTTTTTAAAATAAGTATCCATGAAATAATTCAAATTATCCACCCGACATTCATTTCCCATTCATTTTCTTTATTGTCTCACCGATAATTTTCAAATTCAATCGAAATTATTATTATATTAATTATGTTATAAGTCGCTCTCTCTTAATCGATAAGTGCATACACTTATAAATAAGGGAATTTTTTATTTATTGTTAGTGAAATTTCACTAATTACTATAAGTGTTTTTGCACTTATTAAACGAGAGAACGACTCATAATTTTTAAATATATGAATTTTCAATATTCAGATTCAGAGAGGTGCTTTCATTATTTTTTAATTTTTATCAATATTTACAATTTTTAAAATTCAATTTACTATTTTTCAGTTTTGAATTAGAAATTTAAATTTATTTAAATCACTTACATTTTTAAATTATTTCTTCTTTAATAATAAAATTTGAAATTTCAAGTTCTGAATGTATATGTGAAACGATATCGAGGGGAGGCTGCGACTAAAATTATCAAACATCCAACGACACGAAAACATTTTTCGGTATAAAAGGTCGATGTCAATGTGTTACATTGCGTTATCATTTCGTTTAAAAAAAAGAGTTATGGTTTGCGAACACATCAGCCTTGAAATGGTAGATGATCTCTTCTCAAGAGGTTATCCCTTCCCGAAGAAAATACCATGACATCGTGATAGCGTAATAAATCCCGAACGTGACTCTCGTATCTCCAGTGCAATTCCAAAGGTTCACAAAGAATAATTTATTTCCAAGACAAGCCTCACATCGCTAATCACACACGACGAATTTTGCTCCTATATAGCAATAATTTCCATATTTGTCTTCACACTGAGCGCGTTAATTTTCTAATGAAATAAACAAATTTTTTTATAATAAAATAAAAAATTATTAAAATTCTTTTTAAACTGAGAAGATAAAAAATTGGAATATGTTAAGTATTAAAAAATTGAAGTACTTTATTTCAATTAATATATTTAAATTAATAATTAAATTAATCATCCATATTTTCTTTTACAAAAGAAAAATTTTGTTTTATTCTTTTTTAGTTCATATTTATTTTTTTGCCACGCAGATAATTTAAAATTGTTGCGATATTATATGTAATTTTGAAAACAATTAAGTAATGATTTTTGTTGAGTCATTTAAAGTTTGTGAAATTTATTGAGGGAGAGGTCCGGTGAAAGTAAATTTCCGGGAAATCTTGGAACTCTGACGTCTTTCTTCGCGACTTTAGAATACATAATACGTGTGTTGGCACTGATTCTACGTGGTCAGATTTATACCTGAAATGAGAGTTCTTCGAATTTATGTGTGTGTGTGTGTTTGTATTCCATGTAACGGATCACAGCATTCATTTAACATCTCCGTGCTCGAGATCACGAATCAATGATGAAATCGTTTCTTTTATTATTTTTGCTGTACTACAAAAAAATGGAATTTTATCTTCGACAATATAATTCATTAAAAATTTTTTTTTGTATTTTTTGATTTTATATACAGAACATTCCATTATTAGAAAATAATTTCGCTATTGTAAATATAATTCATAAACTTTACACCATTTAGGTATATTCAACAATATATTACCTCAAAATTTAGGTTAAGAATGGAATAACACTACAAAAATATAATTATATTATAACTTGAAAATGTAGTTAATTTAGGGTGATTTACTGTGGGATAAATATTATAAAATACCTATCTGGAAAACATAATATAATTCAAGTTTATTTATCACCAACCTCAAAATAATTGAAGTAAAAAAAAATTTAGTTTTTAGTCAAGTACTTCCTGTATTAAAGTTAAAATTAACTTGACTGCCATTTTCGGAATCTTTAGTTGCGAATCTCATGGAACTTTGACTAATTCTCTAAATATGTTCACTGTGCAAGATTTCTGCAAGCTTGAAATGTCGAGAATCGGGCGTTAATATTGCATGGTAATATTAGGGTACTATTCCATTAACGTTTATTGTATCCGCCATACTTGGCAATATTGACGCAATATTTTATAGTCAAATGTTGTGCTATTTGTGTGGGAAGACGTCTGAAATTTATATAATATAGTGTTTAAAAATAAATATAAATCTTTATGAAGATTTTGAGATATGATTGTAATTGGATCACATACTCAGTCAGGACACAAGAAGATATTTGCAACCGTCTTAGTGGCACTAGAGGATTACACAATTTCAGTTCGATATTTCACCAATACAATCCGCAGTTAAGAACAATCTTCTTGTAACATTAGTAGAAAATATCAGTAAATTACAAAACACCTTCGAACGAACCTTCGAACATTGATTTTTGAACTATTAAATGCATTTTTATTTTTTTTTCGGAAAAATTACTCCTTTCGAATTTTTAACCTTTTTTATTTTTTATTAATTTATTGCTTCTTATTATTGCTCTATCTTTGTATTTTGTATTCTAACTTTTGTTTTGTTTCTTTTCTTTTTTTAATTTTATTTCTTTCTTTATGTACTTCATACTATTATATTAAAAAGATTGTAATCATTATGAAATTATTTGAAATGCTTCTTTCATATTCATGTATTATTGTATATACATGGAAAGAAGAATATATAGTGGATCATACTCAGTACCTTAGTAACTAAACACAATCCAGAATTAATTGTGTATAATAATATTATACATAATTATATTTCAGCAAAAAACATTCGTCACAATATCTTTTCCATCATCAGAGTATTTTTTAATCATTTTTAATAAATTTCAGGGTTGCCACGCTTTTGCACTTTTCAAATTCCCCGACTTTTCCAGGTTAAGAAACGGAATTTTTCCAGATTTTTAAAACGAAAAATATTCGAAAACATAAATAACTTCATTTTTAAATAAATATTTAATAATTATTTTTTTATAGAAATTAAGATATTCAAAAATTTGAAATTCAATAACATAAGAATATTATCATAAAACATGAAGAAAGCGATCACTCCGTGTCGAAGATCCCATTAAACTTATTGAGAAAAATTAATTCTATAGAATTCTTAATTAAAAGTTTGAAAACTTGAAATTTTCAAAGATTTTAATTTGAAATTCATTTTTAAATCAATATTTATTAGAAAATTCTATGAGAATTCAATTATTTAACTATAAGAAATAAACATTTTATTTATTGAATGTTTCTTAAAATTCAATTTTCATAAAGAATTTTATCAATAAATTTTTAAATAAATAAATTCTCTTGACAAATTTTAATAAAATTTTCAGGAATAATTGCATTTTTCGAGAAATTTGATGAAACTTGTATTAAAAATAATTGAAATTCTGCCAAGAATTTTATTAAATGTTTTGGAAAATAATTGAATTTCGGAGAAAAATTTTAGGTATTATTTATAAAGATAATTGAAAATTTGACTAGAATTTTTGTAAATTTATAGACATAATTGGATTTCAGCGAAGAATTTTATTAAAATTATTTTGAAAAAAATGAATTGTTACCCAAAGAATTTCATTAAAGTTTAGAAAATAATTTTATTCTTTAAAGAAATTTAATTAAAAATGTATTGAAAATAAAACTAAAATTTTAATAAATAAATTGTAATAAAGCTTATTAAAAAATTATAATTATTTAATAAATTTTAATAAAATTTTTAAAAATAATAACTTTTTTCGAGGAATTCCATTAAAATTGTATTAAAAATAATTTAAATTTAACATTGAGTTTTATTATTTATGAAAATAATTGAATCCTTGTAAAAAATGTTATTTATGAAAAATAATTGAATAATATATGAAAATAATTTGCAAATAATTGAATTTCTGTAAAATTTTTATTATTTTTAAAAATAATGAAATGTTTGCACAGAATTTTATTAAAATTATTTTTAAGTGATTGAATTCTTTTGGATCATTGAATTGAAGAAAGTTTTTGAAAATAAAATTAAAACTTTGCCAAGAATTTGATTCAAAGATTATAGCGGAATATAAGAATGGAAAATCTGCCTTTGCTCCAAAAAAGTTTAAATTATTACTAAAAGTTTAGTTGGTACTAATGAGATGGAGGGGGTTATAGAGGGGGAAAGCAAAATAAAAAGTTGATATTTCTCGAAAACGGCTCAACCGATTTTAATGACTAAAATATGTTTTTGTGTAGAATCAAAAGACGAATAATAAAAAAAATACTCGGAAAATTTTTGCCCAAAAATCCCAGAAAAAAAATTTTTTGAAATTTGGAAAATTTTTTAAAAGGGTTTTATTATAGAGATACCATTTTTGAAACATGACAAAAATATCTCTAAAAGTGTCTACTTTAACATATAATTTTTCTAGATTTTTAAATTTGGTGCAACATATTAAAAAAAAATGGAGAATTAAAAATAGTTTTTTTTAAACCATTCCGGGTTTTTTTGGGCAAAAATTGTTGGGGTATTTTTTTATAATTCATCTTATGATTACGGAAATTGAGTTTTATGGAATGGTTTAAAAAAGTTTTTTATTTCTTAAGCCGAAGTACGCAGATGATAGAATGACGTTGCACTCTCGGTTTTCAATTTTTTTCAATATTTTCCACCAAATTTAAAAATCTAGAAAAATTATATGTTAAAGTAGGCACTTTTAGAGATATTTTTGTCACATTTCAAAAATGGTACCTTTGCAATAACCCTGTTAAAAAATTTTTTCAAAATTTCAAAAACTTTCTTTTTTGTGTTTTTTTGGGCAAAAATTTTCTGAGTATTTTTTTTATACTTCTTCTTTTGATTCTACAAAAAAACTTATTTTTGTTATTAAAATCAGTTTAGCCATTTTATGAGAAAAATCAATTTTTTCATTTTGCTTTCCCCCTCCATAAGTCCTGTAAAAATGCATTTTTTCAAAAAATATTTGGTAGAAATTTTTATCTTATTAGTACCAACTTTTAGTAATAATTTAAACTTTTTTGGAGCAAAGGCAGATTTTCCATTCTTATTCCGCTATACC